ATCTAGGTGACTTTCCTCTGTGCTTAGACCCCTGACCTGTGCACTGACATCAACTAGCTCTACAATATCTGTCGAATGCTCTTTCTTGGGAAAATCGGTTGGTCCGTGTTGGAATTCGTCCTTCATTTCTCCCGGGCTCCAACCCGTTGGGGTGTGGGCTGGGACTATGAAAAGGAATTGTTTCCCACCCCAATTTCTCACTTTGATAGAGCCTTTTAATTTAATAGTACATAGTCGGTCGTTAGTAGAGATCCAAACGATTAGTTCAGTCTCCGTTTTGGCATTCACTGTGACAACAGACAAACCAGACACCAATGTCACTGGCTCCCTGGATAAACACATATGAAACAAACTTTCGAGTCTTTAGCTGAAGAACATGTTTGCTGTAATTTACAAGTCTTGAATTCAAGTTTCAGAAATGCAGCAGATATCGACATTAGGAATTTCCATAGATATAGCTGAATTTATCTGCTGCCCAATCTGCATTAGTGTACGAACGTTAAAAGAGCCCGGTTTAACTAGCACACTTGATTTCCGAGAAGTTGTATTTGGTTTTGTATTCGATAACACTATTCACAAAATCAAAATCAGAGACTTAAGGTCATTGAGGCAGAACAAAACTTCGGCCATAGATGTTTAATAAAAGTAAACAGAGTGCAAACAAAACTGAATAGAAAGGTGAAATAAATTCATTTAGGCTAAATAGACTGTCTACGTTATCGGAGTTGTTAAAGGATCTGACCATGTTTATCATTTTGTTCGTAATTATCAGTTGTCATGTTTGTGAGTGGGTTGGAATGTCATATGGAAACCTAGAGCTATGCAGGTGATTTTTTGGGGGAGCCACGCACTTAGCTTTTGACTTAAAGGTCTAATCCATGAGACAATGAAGGAACCTCAGAAGGAATATGTCTAAGGTAGCCTCTGGTAAAGAGAGTTTTGTACGTTATTTGTCCCACCATAGTCCTTTAGCCCGTGTGAATCATTGGCTTTCCAACTTCCCTATATAGACCTTCCGTGTTCCTCAAATCCGTGTTATATTCAGCCTCTGACGCTGCGTGAAGGTAGTAAGTAGGACTGCTCTACATGAGGCTGTAAACATGTGACCGTATAATAGCATTTAAAGAGTGATAGTGAATTTTCCAAAACCTCGGTCATACCCGTGTATACTTTTATGAAGTATGTAAATCAAGAGCACATACTTTTCCTCAGTTTACCGTTATTTGATTAACTTAATTAACCATGAACTATGAGATACTTGGATGTTATATATTATCCGAAATGTTATCATAGTAAAATTACTTTTAGGAACCTCGGAAATCAAACTTTGTATTTGGTATTAGCTTAATCTCAACATCAACGTTCGGGAATTCGGCACTCTGTTCTCAATCAACTTGCAAAAACGGAAACACTCGTGTGGAATATTTCCCTGTATACTTATGGTTACTCATAAGTAGTAGAAAATAAAACACATTTTTACTTCTAAGTTAGGGTTTTCAGTTTTCTGTAGTAATATCAAATTCGAGTTAGTGGTAGTAACTTTTCTTAATGGTGAGTGAGGCAGTTGTTACAACCAGTTAAGAAAACAAAATTTGATTTGATAAAAATTGTTTCTTATCCATGACATTTAATCTCAAAATGTTAGTCAAGTAGTATCATTGATTTGTCAAATATCATTCCTACTCAGTTAATGTATACTAAAAATCTCATTAGCAATCAACGTAAGACAAGTATATAAAGATCAGTGTAGTAGAACATTTTTTTATCTATTTTTTGTATTGTGTCTATGTCTCTTCGTCATTCTCTTTACTTCCGTCGAGTTATACATGTTCATATATAGTTTTCGAACAGTAAATTGCACTGTGGCTAGAACAAAAAAATTCACTTACGTATACGTCGTTTCACGCGATTAGTTTCTATTTACGGCCTCTAATCAGCTAAAGATTATCAGTCTACAAACAAAATCATGTATTTTTTATTAAACACTACGGGTAGTGATGTTATGACTCATTACTTTTTATTTAATCTCATAGGTAAATTGAATTTCTTTTGAAGAAAAGTCCTCAAACTTAATCAATCAACTGTATTCAGGTGTAAAATAGGCGAGGTATCCTTAAGCACTTTATAAATTTATTCACATAACCTGATATTATGTGGTCTGATTATCATCAGCAGAAATCCCTTGACCTACTTTTTATGCTGACACTGTATGTAACGGTATGTCTATGATCTCTTCCAAGTCGCTCAGTTTTAGGAGAATTGATTGAATTAGAAAATGCAAAACAAAGAATTATGGTTTCATAATGATAAATGGTGAAAGATCATGTATGACAGATCACGTTCCTAAATATTCAACAATATAAGAACTTTTTACACGAGTATGTACATACATATATACATTGTATACGTGCATGTACACTAAGTAGAAAAGGATAGAAAAGCAAATATATCGAGAGAGAGAAAGAACCATTATCCTTACGTGATCACTCTCATGTGTATATAAATAAGGAAGTTAAAAATTATGCTACCTTAAGATCATTGGATTAAGAAATAAAGATAGAAACTATAGAAAAATCCCTATTCACTTTTTAATTCAGAGTTGAAAGATATTAAGATCATGTGATTCAAAATTAGAAAGTACATTTTCCCCTCGTCCTCCTATCACCAATATCAACTAATACTAAATTTTCTTTTTTCTATCAGAAGTGATTGTTTTTCATCCTCTATTTTATACAATAGAAATAAATAAATAGTTCATTAAAAATTATTATGATTATCATCATCATTGTGTCTTATGATAGACTTGTAGAATAACAAACTATTTAAATAACAATATTATGACTGTAATAGAGGTATTTTTCTCTCTCTTGATATTGTTCTGTCGACTTGTATATTAACCATTTACACTAACCTTGTTGTAAACCAAAGTTGTAAGTAACTAATAAACATTCATTATTACTTATTCAAACATGAGATATAGATAGTTCATGAAACCTGATTCGTCTACCATTATCAAAAATATAGAGACTGATTAAAATATTAAGAATACCTTAGAAAACAAACCTAAGTTTTAATTATGATGTTATGCATAGATTACAAAAATACAAGATGATTTATATTAATACCAATGGCTGATATTGAGTTTTTCTAAGAACAATATGTGAAAACTTTGTATGACAAAAAAGTTACTCTGATATCAGCTGATTTTCACTCATTAAACTATAACTTCAATAAGCTTCTAAAAATCTATTGGGTTCGACAATGCCTGAATAATTTTAGCAGAAAATTACATGCTTATTATCGAACTACTTTTTTTAAAGAGAAGGTTAGTTATGAGTACACAGTAAATTTACTCTACACTTCATCCATATAGTACTTTGAAAATTGTAACTATTACACTTGTAAGCTTCAAAATCCAAGTTAGAAAATTTAGAGTTTGATTAGATTGAAATCAAATCTAAAACTTAGTTCTAGCCTATTATGATGAAGTAGATAAACACAGGTAATATATGTGTATGATGATAAAAGACTACAAAATTTGTTAACTAAAATCCTAACATCAGCATGTATTAGTTGAATAGTTTGAGCAACAGATATCTCAACTTAGATGAGCCTATGACGAATACAACTTATAAATTAAAACTAACTTCCACTAAATCTCCCCAAATAAAATGTAATAGTCAGTTCACTAGTGACTGATTTCAAAATGTTCCTGGATTTCCAAGGAGAATTGTGGAGTTCAGACATATCGGGAGTGAAATATGTCACCAATGCCTCTGTGTAATATTGCAAATTAGTTGATGTTGGAATTGTACAGTTAGACGTCAACACAGTAGTTTCATAAGTTAAGCGTTTAGGACGATACTTGGGTGTCCTGTGGCCGGTCTCTGGTGGGATGGTGGATTGGTGAGGAGTTCCAAACTGGGATGAAATAGCTATTCAATGCTATTTGGTTTTTAGTGGTATCCAAACTGTAATCAAGCTGTTACAAGCAAAACTTAAGGACCGTGAAATTTACCCCATATGCCAAGTTTAGTCATTTGTAAGAGTTTCTGCATAAATTAAAGGTAATTTGCAACTCCAGTTAACGACAAACGTAGAGATGTTAAGAATCTGTGAGTACCGAATTGTTTAGTGGTTTAAAGATTCACTGAGTATAGTCCAATATGCGGTCCCAAAAGTTCTCCCAGGTTCTTATTTAGCTGAATTCATTTCATAAACAAATCATTTCTTAAAATGCGCCGGTAGTGAACCCAGACTTGGCTAGAGTAAACTAAACCAGTGTAAAATATAAGAACAATGCAATGAATACATCATTTGCACATCTTTTTTAATTATCTCTCACAAGATTCATCGTTCTATGATTTTTTGCTATTGAGACTCCTCAAATTCTTTTTCTCCATTTCATGTCCTTCCGTCAGTATGAATTCTACTTCCAATTCTTGATACATACTATTTACCTGTCCGTATAAGTGGCACACTACCAGTATATCAGATAAGATTTTCTGAATATCAGTTGTCCTCACTCAGTGATTTTCGAGTAAGCTGAGTTTACCCAGCGTTTCGATGAAACTAATATCTCAGCTATAAATTTATAAAAGATTGCTAAAATGTAGTCATTCCAGATTTTCTAATCTATCAAAAGATTATATTAATGTTAAAAAGACTTGAATTATCCCTTTGTTGGTACTAATTGCTGAATTATGATCAGTCTTATTTGCCATACACGCATTCCGAGGAGTGTTTCGGGATCGTTATTTTGTAACAGGTTTTGTAATTTTCGAACTGTAGCCAGAAGTGGATCCAGGACACACATTCAGTCTTATTCTAAACTTACCATATCATAACTATTTAGACTAATTATCTCACGGAATAACGAGTTGGGGTTTTAAGAAAAATGTACTAGGTTTGAATTTCGGTATGAAAGTCAGTACTACAATCAAGGTAAATTCAGCTGACAGGCCACAAATCATATGAAGTTTATACACTACAATTTGTATATTTTATAAATCAATATGTTGTTTTTATGTAGAATAATGATATATTCGTATTGGGCTTTTAGACAGATCTATTTTACCCAAACTAACGATATCATTCAGTTTATCGAATAGAAATAAACACAGTAGATTCCGAAACTATGCTTCATTAGTGAAAAATTGAATTCTTCAATTATTGAATCAGCTCTAATGAATTTAAAACAAATCAATAGAAGAAATTGTATTCATAATACAAATAAAGGGACAATAAGATTAGAAGGGCGAATGATACAACGATTACTATCATTATCTTAACAAAAGACTTTGTAGATGAGCATATTTTGTAATATAAAAAAGACAAACTGTTATCAACATTTCTATTACTGACATATATCATATCATTTTGCATTTTGGTGTTATCATGACGATGATGATGATGATGTAAATTGAAAAGCCAACATTAATCTAAAATTGAAGATAAATAAACTGAAGAAAAAAATTTTTCTTTTTTTCGTCATTACAAAAAAGAAATAATATGTAGGTGTAATTTGCCATTAATATTATTATTGTTTGTTTTTTGTGAAGAAATAACTCATTCGTTATAATTTTGAGAATTTATATACAATAAAAGAGAATTAACAAAGAAAATTAATAAACTTCATTATTATAAAACAACGACAACAAGAACAAAAAATGCCATTTATGTTTCATAATTAAGGTTGATTAAGCAAATGATGAAAGTCACTTTCTAGTATTCATTCATAATAACCATTTGAATAGAGTAAAATGTAATAAGTAAAATATAAAATAATGATTTCAATTAGAATGAAATCATAAACAATAATAGATTTAATAAGATTATTGAAATATTGTATGAATATTTCATGGACATGGATAAAAGATAGAATACAGTTTGTTGTGTTTGTTTGTTTGAAAAATAAATACATAAATTAATTCATGCAACTTCAAATGGAAAAGTTGGTTGTTAGAAAAGACTGGTAAATATGCATAAATATAAATAGATAGATAGATTGATAAATAGATAAGTGTCAATAGGTAGATAGATAGGTAAGCGAATAGAATGAACTATTTTCTTTTCTTTTTTAACTTTGAAAATATAATACATTTTATCTTCTATGAGTACTTGAATATTGTTGCAAGGAGTAAATTGTTAAATAACTCAAACAAAAAGCAAAAGCCTGAGCTCTTTAATTTTCCATAAGAGAAATTTGTGTATTCACAATTTTCCCTAAAGAAAAAGACAATTTTATGATAATGGAAAAATAATAGATATTTTTCTCGAAATAAAAAAGGGTATAGAATTACCAATATTGAGTATAAGTAAAAACAGTAGTAATGCTAATGTATAAGGCAAAGTGATTATTATTATTATTTTTTTTTAATAAATAGACTTATTTGTATAATGAATTGTAATATTGTAAAAAGAAGATGAATAGGGAGTATTGGTGAAATGTAAAAATAAATAAAATTTTCAAAAAAAGAATTAAGCTGTATGCAAACAAAGCACAATATATGCACTGATTTTCATTAACATTAAATTAGTTCTTATCAACTATCTAATCGATTCATGTGAATGTTTGTAATTCATTGAGGTTATATTTTAACTGATCTCCAATGTGAGTGATTCACTTTTTACATTATTACTACTGTATACACTGCTATTAGAGGTACTTACATCAGTAGTAGACACATTAGTACAATTCATATTTATATTTTTTATTGTTTCTAGTGGAGAACAGTTTAGAGAAGTATTATTATTATCATTATTATTTTCAGTTTCTTCAGAAATTATTAATATGGAATCATTATCATATGTAGGCAATTTCGTTTTAACTTTAAATTTTTTCTCTTTCAATGTTGTTTTATTATTGTCCATTTTGTCATGTTCGTGATATTCTTCATCCGATGAAGACGATGATGATGATGACAATGATGAAGAGGAGACTGATGATAGTGTATTTAAATGATTAGTTGGAGAACTTAATCGATTATTAATGTGAACATGTAAGGTAGGTGGTGATGAAACAGAATAATAAATGGGATCACATGAAGTAGTTGTCATATCAATCATGGAATCATTATCATTTACACGCATATCATCACTAGTTGATGGATTATCAACTGTGATTTGTATTAAATCTTGATTGTCCTTTTTTGTTATTTGTACTGAATTATCATTATTGTCAGTCATATTATTATTAGTCGGTTGTAATGACAATCCTGATTGAATATTTTCTTCATTCATTTGTAAATGAGACGAAATGAGATTAGATACAAATTCTGTTTGTTTATCATTTTCAGTTTTAAGAAAATTTAAATCAGTATATGACTGTGTTGAAAATGATACAGATTTTGATTTTAATAAAAATGGTTGAATAGACAGTGACGTATCATTACTATTAATATGAGATATAATAGTAGAACAGTTAGATGACGATGACGAGGAGGAAACATTCAATGGACTTGTAGAAGTCGATGTCATCATATTATTAACATCTGCAACAGCTGACGTTGCGGCAGCTACAGCAGCGGCAACAAGAGCAGCTGTAGCTGAAGGATCTGTTGAAGAATCCGGTGCAAGTGGTGGTGTAGGTTTTGGTAAACCACTAGATGTAGAACGTGCACGTTTATTGGCAAACCATTTTTTCACCTATTAATATACAATTACACAGATATACAAATCAATAGAAAAGGAAAATTGCATCTAACAAGTACCATTGAAAATAATGTATATACATATATTGCCAATAAATATTTGTAGAGACCAATATCCGTCTTATGTTGAAATGTCTAAAATTTCTCAAAATGCTGAGCATATTTATTCGTGTCAAATAAATTAAATAATTGTAATTCAGTAAATGTAATAAATCAAACAATCATTTGATCACTTATCCAAGTTTGATGTAAATTTAAAACGTTTATATTTGTTGTTCTAAATCAGATTTGTCAATGCATATAACGAGTTATTTTGGTAGTGTTGAGTTCTTTGGGTTAGATGGTTTAGTCGCGAAGCGTTCATTGTTATTCTGGATAACATTTCATGTTCTTACTTCATGTAGAAGTGGATTCATTTTGATTGTCTTCGTCGGTTGTTCATGCTACGCAGTTATGCTGGCAACAAAGGCAAATAAAGACAATAAAATCGAAGAATACAGATAATCACGAACAGTGCCATCGGAAGAAACCGATAAAACACCTGCAGATTAGCTAGTAAGCTCACTTCTACATGAAGTAAGAGCTGGAGATGTTATTCAGAATAACAACGAAACTTCGTGATTAAACTATCTAGCTCGGAGAACTCTGGACTACCAAAAACATCCATTTGAACTGCGAAATTATCTCCATCATATAATGAGTTAAGAATGAATTATATTTTCAGAATCCTCCACTTTTCCAACCCACTACCATCATCACCTACCACTAAGTGTAGCCGATCTTAAGGAAAGCAAAACACTTGAATACTTTATTTCTTAAAAGTTATTGTTATAAATAAGAATTATCACCCAATTTTAATCGCAACTGTCAAATAAAATCTGAAAATTTGAAGATCAATAAATTATTCCCCTTAATTATTTTTAGTAATGTAAATTGTTTTCGATAAACAATCAATCTCCTTTAAGGGAAACAATCTATTAAAGGTGAGAGAGAAAGAGTTGGTTAGTTAACACCATGCTGTTATTGTTTCCATTATTTTCATCTTGTCCAACAGAAAAGAAGGTATATCTATCTTTTATTTATAAGCCACCCACTCAAGATTTTTCTTAATTCCCCCTTTTCTCTTTCTGCTTTTTTCTTCCTCTCTTCTTTCTCTCTCTTTCTCTATCTGTGAGACTATCCCCTTTTGAATAATTAGAACTTATTATCGAATCTGTCTATCATGCGATCAATGCATTCTAAAATACACACAAAATTATATGGTCATGATTATTAAATGAACCGAATTTTAGAAAGAGATTAAGATGGATACTATGTTCTTTGGTGGAGATAGAACTCCATGACATCTTATTTAGTAAGATTATAAAAGTAATGGGGATAGATTAATATCTTTTGAGAGGAAATAAGATAAGGTATGACTTGAGTAAAATGGGACGATACTTTAACAAGTAATCATTCGCACGAGAATGACCAAAACTCCTCCGTTTTCTCACCGTTTGTTGGTAATAGCAAATTGAGTTAACATACATTCATTTAGGCTTTACGTTGAATATGACTGGTACTGTTACTATAAACGAAGATAGTTAATAAACGGCCGTTCGTTATAAAGCGTAATTCAAAAAAGAAATTTTGAAGATAGGAAGACATCTTTAACAATGAATTAGATGTGATCTTATCGTTACTTCACTATTCAGACCAAGTACACAAATATTAAAAAACTATGGCAGATAATTTCCCTGTTATGCAATTGTTATATCTACACTGTTTTTATTACATCTCACTCTTGACAGAGTATAAATTGTAATCTATAACAGTTTGAAATAAACTGAGGAGAACAAACAGATGAATGTAACTTGATTACAAAGAACTGAATAAAATAAGCGTTTCCCAACTTCACTGTTTATGTAAAAGTTAGTAATACTATCAGGGTGGTCAGGTAAATAAAATGGTGTTCAAACGCAGGATTTAATAGTTGAAAAGAAAATGTTTTTATACAAAAAAAAACAGCTCTCCAGTATATATAAGCAGAATTAAAAACATACAGAACCATGTAACGCAATTAATAAAACATCAGATTAAAGTTGATTGATATAAATCATAAGAAAAGTACGATAACTGACTGATTTATTACTTTCACCAATCTGTTCTATATGAATGTATGGAAAAATAAAGAACAGGAAATTTCTATAATAATATGACAATTAAAGAGTGTATATGCCGTTATTTTGGGTCAGTATTTGAATGAAATATTTATAACATTAAAGAATGGAAGAGCAGGATTAGTCTACTATTGTTAGTAAACTATTATGTCGGCTTTTCTGTGCGTAGTTATTAACCGAATATAGAGGGCATCTTAATAACTATAATGCTAAAATCAAACTTGCACTGAAAGGCAATTAGTGTGTATTCGATAAATTAAATTTATTATCATCTTATATCGATAAAAGCGTAGTCTAGGGAACAATAAGGAGTAGTCATTTCTTGGAGAGGAAAATTACTCTGACCTAATACAAATTAGTTATATTACCTATGCGCTTTACATTGTTGTTTTTTTTAATATGTATTCATATACTCGCCCGTTAATCTGTGCATGAAATCAAAAATATAAATATTCCTACTTTCTGCTTCATTGATTCGAAAATACACCTCAAGCCTACAAACAAATTTAGAGAAACTATTGAACGTGGGTGAATATGGGCACAAAGAAGATGACCGAATAAGCATCTGACCTATAAAAAAAGCCTAGGCCATTGAGGCAAGAAAGATAGGAAATCAGTGTGCTTTTGAAAGTTTGTGTTAGAAAGGCAGTTTGAAACAGATCGATTGAACAACAGCTAAACATAAGTATGCGAGGTGTGTGCACTCTAAAAACACAGGCATTTTAAGAGTAGTGTAAAAGGGACTGAAATATGGTAGGTTGTGTGTACAAATGTATTGTGTGAATATGTGTGTGTTTATCTATGAACTGTATCGATTATGTGCATAGGTATGTACGACTTGTCTTAAGGATAAGAATACGAGCACACACCATTAATCTAAACTTAAGGCTATGCCGCACTGAGTACTAGCAAATCAGTTTAATCATTTGGCACTAAAATATTTTGTATGGTTGTCAAGCCTCAGAGAGATCATCATCCCACTCACTATATCCCTAGTAAAAAACAAAATGCTGCAGATTTAGAAACAAACACCACTGTACAGACACACAAACATGAACATAGGGAATGAGTTAAGCACGTCTAGACTTTGGGAATGTAGGGATGAAAAGAAGAAGCATCGATATAAGAACAGAGAATTCATTTAGATTAGATGGTGATGATGATGATTCAGTACAGAAACATAATTTTACTAGACTGGCACCCTGTTGCTAACCTGTCTTAACAAAATGCTAAATGCAGTCTGATACTCTGAACAATTGTCAGAATGCCTACATAAAATGCCTTTAGATTTTTTAAGTAAAAAAATGAAATAGTAGTTGAGATTACTCATCATGTGTTTTACTCATTCGAATTTATACAAAAATTTACAGATTTTACAAGATGCTGTTTCAAAATTGTACATAGGTTATTGTGAAAAAAAGAATTGTGTTACTGGGCTATTTTAACTATTCAAGGAATATTGTTAAATATTGGAATATTCGGAAGAAATTGCTTTCTAGCTCATTCGGTTTTGAAAATAGCTTTATTATTTAGTAATTAACTCATCTAGGACAGATTCATGTACTTGACTTCGATGCTCTAAGAAGTGTGTGAAGTTATGAAAGCATCCGGTTGCCGAAATCAAAGTAAATGAAATAGGGTTCGAATCAGTGAATTAATAGTATAAAATCTGAACTCTTTAATCATTGAACCAACGCTGTGTATAAATTGAACAAATCAAAAAGACTATATAAGAATCCTTCTACTTTAAAACAATAGGTCTATCTAATAAAGATAACAAGTATAATACTATTTCTTCATTTTACATCAGCTTTCTATTAAAAGTATTAAAAAATAGAATCATGGTTTTTTCAAGAAATATTTCAGAAAACGTATTACATAAAAGACATACCTGAGAATAACTTAAACCAGATATATTTGCCAATTCTTTGGTATCATCAGTGGATGGATATGGTTTCGCTTGATGCAACTGATACCATTCAGTTAATATACGATTTTGAGTAGGGGTAAAATTCTGACGATGTGGACGAAGTTGTTGCTGATTGCTTGAATCATTAAATGATGATGATAGACTGCGTCGATTATTAGATGAACTTCCACCACTTATTCTAGCTGAACCTGAAGAGCGTTTATTACTCGACCCGAGTAGCAAATTAGATTGAATATCATTTGTAAGGATGACATCATTTGATTGATCATTTTTACACGGTGATTCTGAATCTCCACTTGTTTTATCACAAATTTTATTTCTCTTTAAACATAATTGCTGTGCATTACTTTGGATTGAGCATGTTTCATCTTGTTCAGGTTCCCATTCTTCGTCTATTTGATCTTCATAATTTGAACCTGTTTCAAGTTCATTCGTTTGGTTTAAATCTGTTTCATTAGTTGTCATTCGACTTGATTCGTTAATTTGTTTTTCAGTTTGTTCATTATCTGATGAATGTGAATAATTATTGTTAAGACAATCAGTCAGATTAGAAGATGTAAGAATAGCAGAAGTTGTTGACGTGTCTGCGACACGTAATTGAAGACCAGTTCTTGGATCTAAAAGACCGATTACTGGAGCAGTTGCTCCTATATGTCTTCCATTAGTATTAGATAATTTTAGATTAGCCAAAGCTATTTGATTTATAGCATTGTTTACACCTCCTGGTTTCTGGATATTTTGAGCAGCTGCCGCTGCTGCTGCAGCAAATAACGCCTGATGTGGATCTAACAGACTAATTGCGCCACTAGGTATATTAGTTGCTCCTAGTACAGTACTTCCACATATATTTGTGTTATTACCGATAGTTCCATTGTTTGCCAAAGATAATAAATTAGTCCCAGCTGTAGATGTTGCTAAATTGGTTAATAAACGTGTTGCATTTGTCGAATTTAATGTAACACTTGATTGTACAGGAGATTTATTTGCTGAAATAAAATTAATCAATGCTGGATTCCCAACAACAGTATGACCTAATTGTGCAGAATTACTATTATTGTTAATATTTAAATTGGCTACATTACCAGAGAGAATACCTGTTAAAGAAATACCTATAAGTATGAGAAAATAAGTAGGAATATTGTTAACAAATGATAGAATCTGTTCAATAGTTTTTTAAAACTAAATCACTAATCAACAGTAGTAAAAATAAAAGTTGGATTAAGCTCTTTAAAGACAAATCAAAAATATTCACAACGAAGAGTTCCTAGTATACATGGTTATGGTTAACAGTGGAATCAAAAACACGCGTTTTATCTTATTTAGGACTTATCAACTGAATGTACCTGGATCGCAGTGTTGATATTTACATTGAAACTTGAACTTGTGAACTTTGATTTCAAACGCTTAACACAAAGCGTGCTGAGGCATTCTACTCATCTGATAACAGAAAATGACCAGTAAAAGTCCTTTCTAAAAAGGTTTTTGATGAGAAATAAAATTGATGATCATTTTTAATAAAATATTATTATTGATTGACAAGCAGACAAACATCGTCAACACAGAGCCTGGCATTATTTCGATCTCTTTCGTTATCTAGACCTCGTCATGTTAATCTGACATGGCAACTTAGGCTAATGATCAAAAGAAAGACTAAACCTTGGGAATAGGATTTATAAAGATTGAGTGGGAAGGTATGTATCCAGAGATGCTGAAATTCAAGATTGAGGGGAAGATAGAGTGTATGCATCTGGGCCTCTGAGAATGATTCTGAGCTATGTCGCCTAAATTTGACAATCATTGGTCGTGGTTATCAAAAGGACCCTAACTAGGTACTCTATATCCTCTAGAATGCCCCAGACTGACTTTACTGACTTCATGGACCAATGTCACGTTACTGATTAACAAACATCCCATAAGAAACATTTCTACATGAGTCCTTATTAAAAATGTATTTACGATGCATTAACAAAATATAAATTATTACTTCATTAACATCATAAGTTTATTCATAAACCACAAATATATAGTGCAAAATATAGAGAAAAATAGTTATCATTGGTATATATTTCTAATATGATAAATTGCATAGTCAATAAATTTATTCTCATTTCCTCTCTCCCTCTCTTCCTCTCTTGTCCTAACTCCTCGATATCAACAATTCTCTACTATCCTATACATAGTTATTTTTGTTGTCGTTTTTCCTTTACACTACAACTGGGTCAGAGTATGAGTGAGTACCCAAGATAAAAATGCTAATTTCACTGGACATTGTTGAGTTGACTTGTTACAAACTATTTATATATAATATGTTAATTAAAGAATAGAACATAATACGGATAATAAAATTTATTCGTCAAGTTACAAATGAATGGTACGTCTTTACTTAAAGAAATGGTCAGAGGAATAAGTTATTTCATCCATCAGAGCTTAATAACTACTTGACTAAATAAGATACATCATATCTAATGTAATTTGTTAGTTAAATAAACAAAAGTATGGTGCTTGAACTGTTGTTTCCTCAGTCCGAATCCAAGCGTTGTTGTAAAATACATATACAGTCAACTGATGAACAGGTACTGAGTTTCGAATCCTAACACTAGTTACAAACAAAATGCATCTTCTATCAGTATGTTTGTTATATCCGGACGAGAATAAATGAGTGGTAACCGTTAGGAATTATTTATGGACTAATATTATACATATATGCCTATTGGATAACTATTAAGTACGTATTTTTATTTTTTTTTTGTTTGAACACATAAATATTGGTACAAGGGGGCACTAAATATATATGCACCACACAATAAGGATACACAAAATGGGAAAAAAAGAGTGAATAAGTGACGTGGTAAATAATAATAATAATAATAATAAAGTGAATTGTTTGACTGTTAATCGAAGCGAGAATAGTTTTCTGTAAATACCATCATTTTCATTTTATTTGTGTGTTGGCTGTGATACTGCCCGGATGCCAAAACCGAAGCAGGTGGTTTTCTTAGGGGGCCACACCCGGAGCCTTTGACCTAAAGGTCTAACCCACAAGGCAGTGGAGCATCGTGAGGAGATGCAGTCTCATGGTAGCCGATGGCCAACGATTGGTTCATACGCCATTTGTTCCCTCAGGATACTGGAGCCTATGTGCACCATTGGTTTGGGATCCTGTTAAAGCGCCGGGCATTCGCTTTTCGTCCTCTCATTTTCGTAAACAACACCCCCGCCACCAGAAGGCAGTAAGTAGGACTTCCCTGGCAGAGGCTGCATACGCATGGCCGTGTGAGAGCACTCTCGGCCATACCAGGACAATTGGGGGCCATATTCCTTTCATTATAAGCTTTTATTTGACCTACTGACTATTATCATACGACTTACTATTCTTGAGATATTCTCAATTTGTTGGTGACAGTCTCTCAAAATCACAGCCACTTTTTGGCTTGATCTTGTATAATCGTTATTTCCTATTTATGGTATGATGCGTTCCGGTTTGTTTGCAATATGTCTGAAATATATGATTCTTATCGCGGAGGCTGAGACTGGAGTTCTGGACTTAACAGACAAGGCTAGGCGGGAAAAAAACTAGTCGGAACTTTAGGCTGCTCGTACAGGTTTATGCGTCATTAGTTTGGTCATATAAGTCAGTGTATCTAAATTTGGTAATCGTATTTCGCGATAATCGCATGAGCTAAGGCCATAACAATGTTCTTTTCACCATACGATCTGACACAAATAACAAATAATTTTGGTAAAACAATCTAACATCGAACCTTGTTCACTGACTCACCATTCATAATATCACCTGTAAATATAGTCAGACAAGCCTTCTGCATAGACACAAGTAGCTTATCAGTATCTACACACCACTTTCAGAATCATTGTTGTATGGAACTATTCTCATATGGGTGCTCCTGTCCGAAGAGAATCTTCAAATTAAAGAATAGTATTTGAGCTAGACTTATCTAGAACAGTACATATATGACAATGAAAGTCCATAGTCTTTGTTTTACGCTTTCTTCACTTCATACTACAAGGGTTAGTAAGTCATCACAAAACTATATCCTTGAAATAATGGAATACGCTAGTTTAACTCTCCTTTGAGTCCCAGTTGCCTAATCAAAGCCTCTAACCTGTCACAATTGTGATAACCTCAGAACAATAAGTTACCGTAAAAGCTAAACGTGTGTCCTGGGACCGAAGATAAATTGAGAATCTTATTGGCACACACCATTTTATACATAAAACCATCCTCTTTCTTAGGTTTGATGCTAATAACGGACGAGGATTATGATCCCTAGAACTTCAGAAACTTAACCAGACACAAAAGAATTTACGTACTGTCTTGTGGGTTGGAGTGACAAACAAGGAAGAATAATTGGTGAATATTAACTTTGATTCTTAGTCTTTCATCTACTTCCTCAAATCATTTAACTAGAAATGTTTGGCGACAAACCTTGAAGACTTGGAATTATATCATCAGCTCCTGATACTTTGTTTTAAAATTCAGCCTTGTCACCCTTCCAAACTTCAGTAAGAAGTCCAGGCTATAAATCAATATTTCATTCAGATTGTACCACTAATTATTTAAAATTCTCATCCTCCATAGGTTCCTTATGGGTTTTCTTTTACAGTTTTCCACTTGATAGCAGGTTATACTGTGCACGCTGATGCTGTTCAGAATTAACATTTTCTCGAATCAACTTCTGCATAATTTTTCTAATACTGCGATAAAATCAACTGGCCACTGGATAGTACCCAGTGTAACATAGCCCAGTATTTAGTTCCAATAAAATTCCATTAGTATAGTGATACACATTCATATATATGAGGAAATATCGTCTCTTTTTGGTTGTAGACAAGACTTGTTGATGAGCGCTAAAAATGTGAGATGGAGGTTCACAAATTCTTATAGATTTGTGTGACCAATAAGCAAAATCTAATTATGGATTATAATAGTTATTTAAACGGTTTTAAAACAGAATCACTTACATTCACCCGAAGGTACAGTAATCCCTTTGATATTGGAATTAATTGTTCCGAAATTTGTTGACATTGATGGATTATACGTCGTAATGTTGTTGTTTACAAAACCAGATTGTCCAGTTAGAGTAAAACCGCATACACTAGTTAAATTATTTAAACCAGGAATTAATGAAGTATTTCCAACCTCGGAGGTAGTTACTGACCCAGCCACATTTAAGCTTGAGCCGGAAGTATTTATTAATACATTAGTTCCAGATGATGGTATTGAGGGAGTTGAAGGGTTTATTAGTTGTTGAATTGACGGGTTTGAAGAATTCAGTGATGATACAGTAGCTGAACATGTTGGTGCTAAAGACAAAGAAGAAGTTGATGCTGTCGAATTAACTGGCAGTGATATTGAGACAGATGATGCATTAGCCAGAGCAGCCATAATAGCTTGCAACTGAGCTAAGCTGACAATATGAGAAGAGGTAGGAGATAAATTTATCAGTGTATTGTTTGAATTATTGTTCTGAGCAGACTTATTGATAGAATCAATAAGTTTATTATCACCAGATGTCAGAGTTGTCGGTTCAGCATTTTGAAGACTGTTTGTCATGGTAGAATTCATTAATTCCTTCTTAATGTTAATAGTATTGATATAAGATTCATTTTGACAATTTATATTTTGATTTCGCTTATCAGGTGGATTATCTGAACTAACAACTGTCTCATTCATTGTTGGTAAGCTAGATATTGTATTGGCAAGAGCAGTTAAACACTGAGCTGGATTTGGAAATAAACTTGATACTGGGACTTCAATAGATTGAATTAAACGTTGTTTTAAACCACCTTTAATTGCTGCATTTATTACTTCAGCAACATTATTAACGACATTAAATGTAGGCTGCTCAAGTGTTTCCTTACATGTTGAATCGTTTATATTTATTCCTGTAAGTAAGTTAAGATTCTTTGTATCTGATTTTGTTATATTTGATATTTGTGTAAATGATTGAGAATGTTCTGATGGTATGCTTATAGATCGTACCTAGTGATTAAATGAAAATAGATAATATATTAAACTGAAGAAAATGAATTTTTTACTGTATTTAATATTTATTAATAAAAGTTATCTTATCAAAATAAAACTTTTCATTTAATATTCGGTAAATGCTATTTCATAGAAAAATATCTCTTCAGATGTAGACAACTATTCAGGTTGATCTCAATTTAAAAATGCACTGTGTATTATCTTTTATATGATCAAATATTTGAGAGAAGCTAATAAGAATGAAAATCAACAAAATATGATGGGAATAATTCGTGCAAAAAAACAAAAACGATGTTGTAATTCTTTGGAATTCTGGTCTTTAGTTATTTGTAAGAATCATCAATACAATATTAATGTCTTACTTCTTAATATGGTTATATAGATGATAACTTATTAAAATTAATTATCAACGATATAGTTAGCGTAAAGTAGTTGTTTAATTGATAAATAATAAAGGTTAAATCTGTCAGTAAGTGATAAAAAATATTGAGCAACTTAAACAACTGACTAAGCTGGATCATGTCTAAACTTGTATGTTAATCAAATATACTCGTAGTTGCTAAGATGATTTATTTAGGTTGAGCAAATACTTTGAGTGTTCTTTGCTGTATAATGAAGTAAAAGGAAGAACACTTAATGGATGTTTACAAAATAATGTCTTTTTTAAACCAGTTTCAATTTGTGATCCGCTGTGATCATTTAATGTCATGAGATATATGTAAATGTATGTTCTATATATGCGGGTATTTGGCGCCAATCCACCATTAATAGTTAAAATATTTTATTACAGGAAGAGACCCCCAAAGTTAGAAAGTAGTATATATAAAACATTACTCGTTTTTAATGGAAGATTGTCTGTAGGTATGAATGAGGTCAACAGAGTACAATTTTAAACTACTCTCAACAATAAATGATAAAAATGATAATGAGTGTGAGTGTGACCGTGTAGAATACACATACATATATATACAGATCTATACACTAATGATTAAACTTGTTGATCATAAGTATATATATATTGTATATGTACGTTTAGCAATATAAATCACAGCTTAATAAATGATTAGCACTAAAAACTACGGGTTGTATTATCACACATGACAGTATCTAAATTATGAGTAAAAATTGTTCATTCCAAGTAATTTACCACTCCCTTCCCTCGTTCATAGTATCATATAAATACATTATTAAATATTAAATGACAAGACAAATCAGCAATATATATATATATATATATATATATATATATATATGAAACAATTATTTATTATGATCAGTTTTAAACTGTTTTATTTATTGTCTATATCTCATACTATTTAATCATAAGAGCATTAAATGATTTACAGTATTGTTTTTAATAATGATAATCGTAATAAATTTTCATTAGACATTTCTTTTTAATTCAATTAAACTTTCCTAATGTTTACTACTATTACTACTTCTATTACAAATAATAATATACCAGAAATGATCAAAATTACTTATAAAATGAGCATATTTAAGTTAATATTTTTCAATGTTCGTTTTAAGAAATAATCAAGTTAATGCAATAGATAAAATAGAACAGTTATATTCATCAATATGATAAAATTTCAAGCTCATAACACAAGTCTTGGTTTATATATTTTTTCTAATTATCAATAACTAATAACTGAAACTTAATTTTATGTTGTCAAAATATTATTCAAACTTATTATTTAGGATTAGTGAGTCGTGAAATTGGTTCATATTGTACAAAACAACAATAATTTATTTTGATTGAGATCATGAATTGATTGATGTTAGATCACCATTGAAAACGTTGAAATGCTGGACGGTCGTTTCGGTCTATTATTGGACTCAGCAGTGCGGATCCACGACCCCGCTCGCGGGATTCGAACCCAGGACCTTTGATCCCTAGCGTGAACGCTTAACTTTTAGACCATTGAGTCAGCATCCAACGGTGTTAATGTTTACCCTCAACCAATTCACGAAATTGCACAACCATTTCCTGCTGTATTGAGGTAGATACCTGTCTCCACCTGGCATGGTTTAGCTCTGCTGGTCACGGCTTCTCATTAGAACTCCGAGAATTCCTTCAATACGGAGTAGAAATTCACCTTGTAACTTTTTAAAATCTTATGGATAAATATCAGTCAATCATTGAGTCACAACGTAGAACTTGGTACGTATCTACATCGATTGAAATTGCCATAAACCATTAGGACAGCGGGGTGAAATTGTTAGTACAGGTAGTAACAGTATTAGTGCTGATAGAAGAGTTTAGGAGTCAAGGATACGATTCAAGTAGATTAGTACCAATGAAATGAAGAAATTATGAGGAATTCAAAAGCTTAAAATCTAAGGAAAACAAAGGGTGAATATAACTGTGCCATTGCAAGCATTTTTAAGCCATGTCATCCAATGTCTCTAACCACTGGTCAAGATAATCACACCGAACCCAATCAGTTACTGGGGTACTGAATATTCGATAGATGGAAACAGTAGGTGCAAAATCCTAAACTTTGTCTTCAGGAACATTATTTCTGACTGTAATATTGACTGATAGTAATTCAGTTCTTCAAGATGTTATCGAGTTATTTGGGCTTAGGATAGACAATATTGGTCGGTGTACACAGATATAAAACTGTGTTTAGTTTTAGTGTTTAATAAATAAAATTTTTAAGTTATCGCACTTAAGATATTTTAATCTAAAAATGTAAGTCATGAAGAATTTCGTTCTTACAAATCATACGATAGTAAAACAAAGGAAGGAAACAAATTTCAGAAAACTCAATATGACGATTATAAAGGTTGTAAGCATAGTTGGTAAAATGACAAACAGAAGTTTATTAACTGTACTCGTTTATTAATCTCAACGATGAAAATTGACCAAATCTGTTATGGAGCTATCAGTTATTACCATAATACAATACTTCAATAAATTATGTTAAGGGCATATCATCCCAAAGAGTATCTATAATTTTATGTTTACCAGTCATTGCCGTAGATAATTAAATCTACGAGATACCAATATTTACTAACATCAAATGTTAGATAGCTTAAGGTTAACAAGGCAAATGGTCCAGTCATTAAGGACATTCTAATACGAATAATATAATTTTCAATCAATACTCATTTCACTTGTTTTGATGTTTTCAAAAATACTTAGGGCTAGGTATATTCGAAGCACACATTTCTTCAGCCTTAGGTGTGTTAAGGACAGGCAAAATACCTAACATAATGATAACGAGATAAGGAGAATAAATAACATTATGGTTCATATATGCACAAAGCGAGAATAAGATAGAGAGCGAGAGAGAAAGAAGGGGTAGAAGGTAAAAAGAGGAAAGGAAAGAGTTAAACCTTCCTCAATAATAAAATGTTCAAGACAAACATGTGCTTTGAATTTTGTTCAATTGGACTCTGTCATCTGAAATGAACAGCAGGCTGAAAAAGCACCAAAGACATTAAACTTGCATATGACCTAAAGAAAAATGTGAGATTATCAGCAAATGCACACAAACAACAACAATGTACCAATGATTTTTTTATGTGCATGAAAGCAAACTATAGGGATAGCAAAGTTAGTAGTGAATTCAAGCGTAGTAAAGTAACTCTCGTAGAAAAAATAAAAAGTTCACTCAGAATAAAATATGAGAGGATTTAAGATAAACATTTAATGCACATAAAATCACGTGTTTCTATTCTATTTTTTTGTTTTGTTTAAATATGTAGTATATGTGTACATCAATAACTAAAACAGTCATGTCAAAGCCGAGTAGTGCTAATGACGGGATAGGATGCACCTACTGCCTGTCTGTTCATTTCAGGTTTAAGATAGAACAGTTGTTACAAAGGTGTACATTTTTGTCTATCCCACATAGAAATGGGCTCAGCAAAATCTTAAAGAATAATATATAGAATGCCCAGTATAAACAGATTTCAAAACTCCATATACAGAGTGCATTGATAACTTCAGGCTAGAAACAAACTGAATATATTTTAAAACATTAGATAACAAATTTTAAGGTTAACAAAAACAAAGGAATTTTGTATATGGAATGAAAAGTCTTAACGATTATACGAAATCAAGTTAAATATCTTGTTTCACTGGGTTTATTCTAAGAAGATCATACACAAAGGATATGTGGTAATTCACTGACCAAGCATTCAGATATTGAACATTTGTTTTACTCTTCAAGAAATTTAAAGTTAAGACAAATAGAAAGCTACTTTCTTAATGATAAATAAACTGTTTTAAATGAACCAAAGTGATAAAATGATCGTTTTAGGAAGATATTGGTCTTACACAATGTATTCTATGAACTGGTGATATGAAAACAAGTAACAAAGAAACAAATAGCCGTGACCTGAAATTAATAAGAAGCTTGGTTGATTATCTACTTTTGCCACATTACAATTCATGATTTATAGCAAACTTGATGAGTAAAATGATCATTCACTTTGTAGAGTCAGTTGATCTTAAAATCAGTATCAAAACGTAGCGAATATGGTTTTAATATTATTAAGCTCTATAATCTAGGTGATGAACGCTTGTATGAAGTAGGCACTGATAATGTTATCTAGAATGACAATGAAAGCTCCATTACTAAACCATCTAGCACAGAGAAATAAATAACACCTAAAGTATTTACCTGAACTGTTAATCTTCTCCATTATGGAGAATATTCAGAAATATTGCAATTATAACATTTGTTGAGTAGATGTTATAAACTCGTTAACTAATGTTTGTTATATTTAATTGTAAGCACTCATCCTAGTAGACCGAAGATTCGAATGCCGTTACAACTATTTCGCTTTAGGTACTCAGTTAGTCCACCAGTTCTTTCACAAAAACAGTGCTCTTCAGACCTGAGTACAAAAATCTGCATTTTACAAATCTTTTTTTTTAAAGATGCTTTATCGATATCTGCTGTGAAAGCAAACCGAAAACATGTGATTTTCAATTGAAACAGTTGGTTTGATGTGACATAACTGAACTATACCAACAAAAATATACCAATCTGATTTCGATATGTACTTCATGAGTGATTGATAGAATATATTGGTTAATTATACAGGTAAAGCATCTTAGATGTTAACACAGGAAACCCGATTACTAAGTGAATTTCAAAACCTATGATGATACATGTGATCATTACAGGCATACTCTCCAAAGAATTTAATATGGTTATCTTAATATAAATTAGAAATATGCTTAATACTGACTCACTATCAGGTTATTCCGAATAATATTCATGAACACAGTGAAAGTTAACACACAGTGAACATAAATATACGAAAACACGCAGAAGTTAATAAGTTAGTCAATCTATTAGCTATTGTACGATATTGTAATAAATTACAATGCATTATCTCTTATAAACTTGTTACTTTAAATTGAACATGAAATAAATTCAGAGGTAAAATATATGTTTGAATATGAAAGAATAAGATCTATTATCATTTATCTACATTAGTTAGATTTAGGCATAAATGTAATTTCATTAGAATTCATTGTCTTTTTTTGTGGTGATTACTCTCTAACAACTGTAATGAATTCTTCTTAATAAAACAATTGTTATCAACACAACATTTCAATTCGAAGTAAATAATTTCTTTTACAGTTAATACAGAGTTGACTTAATAAATTTAAAATTAATATACTACAAATTACTTCTTGTTCACATGAAATGACAAGCAGACAATTTCTTACTTCTATATTCTATTTGGTCTTCCTCATTGAATATACACAAAATTTATGGTCTAAATGTGGTGAATAGAATTTTTTTACAGTTAAAACGTAAAAACTAAAATGTGCATCATGTGTTAACATGTAAAATGTCAAATTTTGAGGGTCAAAGGATGCATATCTACATGAGTGATGTTTTATGATGGTGGTGGTAGTAGTAATAGTAGTAACAGTAATGTAATATGATAGTAAGAGAAACAATAAGCAAACTAATTGACTTAACACTAACACAAGAGGAGTAAAAGGGGAGATAAAATCACTAACACACAATTTTACGCGTAGAGTTTTAAGGATAAACAGACATATAATTTCGTAACGAGGTGAACTCTACAGACAGCAATATAAATTAGCTTTTCTTACCTCAAAAGCCTACTGATTTATCGACTCGAACGTAAAATATATTATAAGCAAATAGGCATAGAAACGGTCTGCGAACAACGTTGACATAAAAAAAAAATACTCTGGTGTATATTAAAATATGATGATAACTCCTACAGCAGAAGATAACAATCATATTCTTGTTTAAAAAAACCCAGTTATACACAAGTATCAAAAGCGCACTGTAATTTTAGTATCTTAATAAAAAAGATTAGAGAAGCAGCAAATAAGAGTTCGTTAAATTAGGTTTCTAAAGACTCACTTAAACGACGAATTATCTCCAGTTTCATAGTAGAATAAAAAATAAATAAGAAATATGGAGTTGAAACCATTTTCAATAAATATTTTTACACAAAAAACACTAAATATGTGAATCGCTTCTTATTGATAACTTTTAGTTCTTATTGAGAATGATACCAAAAGTTTGTCTCAGTTTGTTAGAAATGAGCAAGAAGCATGGACATTCATAATTTTTTTCAACTGAGAGTTTACGTTAGCAATAAATTCATCTAAACTTCATATTTTTAGCGAACGTCTGTTATACGACAAATATATTTTAACGTATGAGTTTGTTCTCTTGCATTCTTAACTTATCAGGTTAAAACAGTATATCTTTTTTAAGTCCTTACATCCTAGGACAGTCATTACTGTTCAACAAAATTGTTTTCATATATAAGGATAAAAATAACCTTGCTCAGTGAAATATATTTTTTTAGGAGAAGTGATAAAAGGCACCTACTAAATACCTGACGATTTAATGAAAGGCTGTATGTTAACGTCTGATAAAATTGTGATTACAGACAATCATTCAAGTAGAAGAATATTAGTGTCATTTACCTCAATCATTGTTTCTAACACAAAGAAATTCCCTTACAAGTTATCGAACAATATCCAAGTTGATCTTGCCAAAAACCGAAAAAAAATTACATTGCAGTGACACACTTATAAAGGCAGTTCATATCTAGTAAAATTAATTAACCAAAGATATGTCATTGCAAGGAAACCTGGAGAAATATCAATGCACGACGTGCATAGTTAACAAACAAGGGAATTTTTTAAGATAGAAGATGAAGGAGTAATCTGTTTCACTTGTGTCAATACAAATTTTATTACACTTATACTATATTTGGTTTTCAGTGTACTCAAGCAGCGCATAAAGTATTATGTTTTTAATGAATTATTAACTTACAGACATATCTAGAGCTTGATCATTTGAAGGAAAATTGATTTCTTCACTGGTTCCAATGTTATTCACAGATGTTAATCCAGGAACTAGTGAAGTTCCATCTGAATCTATTTGATCAACCTTGGTGTATAATGGTGTAGGAGAAACTAATGTATTAAAATTTGAAATATTTGAACTTTCAGAAGTAGATTTTGTACTAAAAGGCAAGCTATCAGTTTTATTATTATCAGTAGATGTAATACCACAGGTTGTATTTGGAATATTTGTTGTAACTGATTGTGGAATTGTTCTTGAATTACTTGATGCAGTCAGATGGGCTACTAAGGCTGCAAGATTATTTGAACTAGATAGGTTAGGTGAGCTTATCTGTGAAGCCGACTGTAAGCGTTCAATGTTATCGTTACAATTTGATGAATTGTTTGTTTGTGTTTGGATATTTGTCGAATATGATGAAGATGGTACGTTAATGGCCGATATTAGATTTCCATTGGCACCCATAGATTTTAAAGCCTCAATTATATCAGGATAACGTAAAATTCCAGTACAGTTTGCCAAAGGATTAGTTATCGACGTATCCAATGACTGCGGGGCTTTTAGAGCTGGAGTCACAGATGAATCACCAAGGGTTGGTACAGGCACAAATAAAGTAGGTTGTAGTGCGGTTAATTCTGCTTGCTGGGTCAAATTACATGATAAATTACCAGATGGGTTGGCTAGAACCCATGCAGATGGATGATTTTGTGTTGTCTGTAATTCAGTATGATGTCCTGTGCTTGTTGTCATTGAATTATCTCCAGAATTACCTAATGTTGATGTTTGCGGATTATTCATGATTGTTGTGGACAGACCACAAATAACGTTTTCAGGTAGACTAGACAGTGGGATCAGTTGTCCAAAGAAAGGACTCGGAATTGATAGTGAATTTAGACCATTCACACTAGGGGAACTAAATGTCACTAGAGGCACCTGCTTGTTGTCGGCTAGCGAATTTCCAATAGGTAAGCAAAATGGTGTGATGTTTGAGAAAGAGACACATTTTGTCATATTTGTATCTGTTCCTGTATTGTCTACATCTTTACATATTCGTTTAGACTTTGGTGAACCAACACTGTCATTTTTTATCTGTCCGTCAACTTCATCTAAACCGGATAAAAAGCCACGTTTTGCTCCCGGCGAAAAGTTAGTATTCGCAGTTTCGTTTTTTATAGAATTGGTTATTGATTGATTTGTCTTGCATGTACTCACATCATCCTCTTCGGGTGATGAAGAGCTATTCGTAGACTTTGATGCTGACAGACAGATGCGTCCCTAAAATTTTAAGAACAAATAAAGTTAATAGATTAGTTAATAATAGTTGTTAATGCGATTGTAAAATTAAAGTAATATTAATCTCAAGAGTATGTCTTATATACTTCCGTATATTATGCAGTTACTAAGTCGATATCTAACCTCTGCTTAAAAAGTGAAAATTTAAAATTCTTATTGCGGCAGTCATCTCTTTCATCAACGAACTGTTAGGTTGTTGGAATCAGTCGATAGAAAACCCTGGAACATGATTTATGTTGGTCTGTACTCGTCAGCATTATCTTCTTACAGTCTTGAGGGAGTTGATGCTGGCTGTAGGATTTGAGGTTAGGTAGTGTCGGTTCAAACTGCACATAGAGCATCAGCTCCTTCAGGATTCTAGTCATGCCATGCTTAAGAATGCCAACTAATGTAAAGCCTTGGTCCAGTATTTCCTGCTGACTAGCGGAGAGCAACCTACACCTCAACAAAATATAATCAGTGTCGAATCGTTTAAATTAATGGTCACTTTGAAACATAATCAATAGAAATTTATCAGCAATAAAGTACTAAACAGACGACACATTGGTCACTACTCAATGATCAATTCATGGTATATATATTGAGTGATGTGGTCAATGAAATTTATACCAATTTATAAATGTCTATTTTTATAAAAACTGATTTCATTTGCCATCCGACTTGTGAAGGTTCATCATCATTAATTTGCATAGATCATCTTTGATGTATCAATATATATGTTTTTTTAAACTTTTAATAACTTAGTTACTATCACCCTAAGCAAGAATTGTTGGCAGAAGAAAACATTTTCTAGATAAAAGCAATCACATCAAACTGTTGGGTAAAAACAAAATGAAAGTTTAGCTTAATTCCTAATGTATAATATTTGTCAAACTTCTTTTAAACAAAATCGATTGATACATGGTAAAAAGAAAATCATAGTTCAAAGTAAGAGATTTTATAGAAAGGATGGTTTGACCCGATGTTGAATATCAGTAAATACAAAAGAGTAACGGAGTTTTATTCAGTTTCTTGTGAGAGAGTAATGGTTCCGTAGTTAAGGCGTTTGACTCTTAGCCACGAATTCGCACATTCAAACCCCCACTTCATCTACTTTGGTTCAAGCTGCTAGGTAGTATTATTGGCTCACAATCATGTAAACAAATTTGTACCTAGTTGGTGAGTTAATCTAATTCATTTTATTTAAAGATTCATTATAAGTTCTTGATAGTACTTAATGTATTGAGAATTTCCATTTTTCGTAGTAGAAAATAACTGATCGTAGCATTGTAATGTTCAACTTTACAAATGCAAACTTTTGGAATCAAACTTGCTGTTATTCTCAAATTTGTTAAAATTTTTAATTCAATCATTTAATTGGTTATCTTATTTTTCTCAATCACTAATAATAATAAAAATTCTTCTATCTGTTTACGCATAAACGCTCAGTAAGTAAATACAATAAAAACTATTGGTTTATACAAAATAAACATTATGATAAAGGTAAGGGAATAACAAAAAAAATAAGTATGAAAAATAACATTAAGGTGAGTGATGATTAAAAAAATTAGTGATGATGAGTAGAGTAGAAATACGTTCATCCAATCAAAATGAACTATAATATTTCATCCATACTCAGCTTGTGAGTATTAATAAACTGGTTTTTTATTATTATTATTATCGTCTTCATCTAAAGGTGAATATACAAGTTAAATAGAGCATTATGCAACTAAAGTAAAGTAAATATCAAAGAGAAATATATGGTGTTTATATGAGTAAAAAAATGGGTAAAATTACACCATCTTAAGTGTTCGAACAAACTGATAATTGTACTCATAATGAATTAGTTGGTAGAATAAAGGTATTGGGAATATTCATGATACTCATTTAATTTGTTAAGTGAAAATGGAATAACTCATAGACTGATCTCAGTTAGGTAACAACATAGGGTCGTATATGTACAGTTCTGAAGAGTCTCATTTTAAGGTGACAAAGCTACTCAGTGTTTCCTGGCTTTTTAACGGTTATCTGACCCAAATCAATTCGTGATGTAAGCTGCAAAATAAATTTATTCAGTGTAGATTAATATGTTATATTTTTTAAAGTATCATCACTGTTGAATAGTTAGATATAAAATTAATGTATTTAGAATATAATCAACAAATTATCTCCTATTGTATTTGTTGTATTGATTAAGTTATCTCATTTAGGAATAAACACTGATTTATAAGTATGAAACTGGAAACAATCATCTAAATATTTTATTTGGTTAAATTAAATATATAAATAAAATTCTTTATGAAACTACTTAGTGAAAAATATTTTAGTTTTATAAAATAGACACTAATTGATAGAAATATTTTAAACAATTAAATCATTCTCCTTAACGTATATTAATTAAATGAACTTCCTGATTGAAGATGTGTTCTGATTTATTGAAACCCTTGACCTTTAAGATTTAAGATATACACAATTTACGATCAGCACAGAGATTATGTGCAAAAACATGACTGACTCATTCATCATTCATCAATGTTCAAAAAGAATCAATGAATTGCACTACTAATCTCAGTTCCAGAATATATAAAGAGAAAAGGGTAGGGTGGGGAGTAATTGAACCATTTTATGTCAAGTGTATTGGAAAGCTCAGACAATGGAGAAAATAATTTTCCTTCCCACCCCTTACAATGTATTAACCTGAACTAGGGGTAGAAAATCACTTGTAGTCTGATGGTAAGAATGACTCAGTTACATACAATTAGTAGGCCATTTTAGAAAAATGCTTTGTTAGACTCACAAGGCAGACTCAAGACTGATTCTGTTCTACTTTGTTTTTGTCTAATTTAGTCATTTTAGAAAAATGGATCATATAAAGAATGAAGTAAGAATTATGACAGAGAGGAGGGAGTGAAAGAATAATCCATTATAGGAGTGCATACTACAATGAATAAATCTAAACAGAAAGGAAAAGTCGAATCAATTCTTTTACCATAAGACTTGAAAATAGAATTTGACAGATCTATGTATGAGGAAAATTCACTAAAAGTACGAATTCGAAAAAATAGGTTTCATAAAAAAATAATCATGTTATTTGATTGTTAAATACGAGAGAAATGCATTAATAATGGTAATCTAACTATAATTTGCACTATTATTCTTAATAATTTGGTAGATTTTCATATCTCAGTCAACTAATTAGATAGGTCAAGTACATTGTGTTCACATTTACCTCTCACTTAATATAACTATAAAATGTAGGTATCATTACCAAGGTTTGACTTGATAATTTCTAATAAATTGAGCATTGGGTAGATTGCTATAAATAAATAATATAATTCTAATATCCCAATGAGTAGAACAATTAGATTTTCCGACGTTTCGTGACTTAGTGTAAGCCACTTCTTCAGAGAATAAATAAACGAAACGTCAGAAAACCTAATTTTTCTACTCATTGGGATATTACAAATATATTATTTATTTATAACTATAAAATGTTTAAACTTTTTGAACAGGTTTTAGTATATATATATATATATATATATATATATATATATATATATATATATACGTTTTATTTTACTTTTGTACAATAAGAGTTAATTAGACGAAAGAAGAGTGATTCAAACAGCCAATCCATGTATTACGTTTATCAATGTAATGATGTATACTGAATAAAGTATTCAATCGAATCTATTACAATTTGAATGAGACATAATGTTTATCAATATGATTACAGTATCTTGATTAACTAGCATAGATGTTATACGGATTGACTTATTAAAGCGAATGGAATGTGTAAGATAGTATGCAGTATTGAAATCTGGTTAGTTCATAAAGTTTGAAAATTGACGCAGTCATCACAAGTAACAATGGATTATTAAGGAAATGGTGTTTATATTAGTATTATCATAATCTTAATGTTTCACTACCTTTAAATGAACTTTTGGGCCAAAATTAAAAAAGTAATACATTAAAACAAAATAGTTGACCAACTTAACAGTATGAAACGATAGTCATATGTGTATCATGTACAAACAAATTTATTTTAAATGTCTACTTTACAGACTAAGGTCTAATCAGAAGAAAAGAACAAAACAACCTAATTTTCAACTCAAAGTTTTAGAAATTTAGTAGCAGGAGTGAACATCAACTCTGAGGTGCGGGTACATCCAGCTGATGAGTGCCCAGTTGAGCAAAACGCGCGTCCTTGATTCCACTGCTAGCCACCATTCATCCTTGATTATAATGCTTGTGACTTAAAGTAATATCGAGGAAATCAGCACAGGATGCGCATATGCTAATAAGAGACTAATAAATTGCAGTCCTAAACATCAATGAGAAGATTCAAACAACCAATACGAAATGAATTTAGAAGCTAAATGGATAAAATCCTTGGATATATGTTCCTTTTTGGGTTCAAATTTCGTCAGAGATATTAACTAGGGAACAGTTATATACACTTAATAAGTTCAAAACGAAACGGAACTATGTTCCACTTTTAAGCTACTTTTAAAACAATTAACGTAAGTTAATAATCAATATTGAAGCATCAACACAGAGGTTGATTAAATTAATTTTGAACATTCCAACGACATGAGTTAGTTAAGTGTGTTTAAACTTATTGGTTTCTATTCACGAAATGTTGGGAATCAGTGACTGTTGAATTACAATAACATTGTCTAAAAACAAAACAAATTAGTATACGTAAAGTCACATCTTCCTCTACATCATAAACATCACATTACACCTATCTGTTTTTTAACTAATCTTCTCCCTAATTTCAGTGTTTGTTTTCATTATTTTCTTTTTGTATTAAGGCGATCGGCTTTTTAAAGTATTGTATGTGGTTTTTGGTCATTTGTCGTATACCTCATCTAGTTAGCTTTGGTATAATCATAAGATAGAGTCTGAACTCGATGTTGATGAAAACAGTAATCATTTGAAGTTGTTCATCTTTTACACGAAATTAAATAAAACGGAAAGGTTCTAATTAATGAAATAGT